GTCGATGTTTCCCGAGGCGAAGCCGAGGGAAACATCGACGGTCGAGGGTCCACAAAACACACTGCTTTCCCGAGGTCTCCGTAAATAAGTGTTTTATTATATATCAATAGTCAAAGAAACAACAAATTAAAGAACAAATGAACGTAAATACATGAAATATTTTATTGTTAAAACGTTATATTAAACACTGGCTACACTGCAGTTATAAGAAGCGAAAGTTTTAATTATGTACTAGGCATGTCCAAAGGTCGCACCTTCACATGATGGCGCACGTGATTTTTTTTGTTATTCGCCGGTGGATAACGTATTATCTCCCTCTCGCACTGTTGCGAGGGAGACAGCCTAATTTTGTCACTCTCATGTGATATGCTCTCAACCAATAAAACACTAGAAAAATGCGACTTTGACTATTGATATATAATAAAGACTGATAGCCGATAACTTGTAAGAAATAACATTTTAGTCAGAGACAAAGAGCATTTTTCCTTTTGAAGTTTTTCATTGGTTTGTTTCAAAATTATGCTGTACTTGTATAAATTTGTTCAGCTAACTTCAAGACGTTACTCATTCACACATTATACTACAGATTATGCTAGAAATAGTTTCCACTAAAACTGCGCCCACGATTATGGTGTACTGCAACCTCATTCCCAGGGGTTTCTTGGGTGTACTGTTATTATAAATGATGTTATGATTTTCACTGTTAGTATTACTGTCGAAGCAATGGAAGTGTTGATAAAATATTGCACCAATTCCTTTCCTTAAGTTGATCAATTCATTTGATAGAAAATTGATCAACTTCCTGTTACGTTTGGATGAGCCAATTAGATTTCGTTTCAGAGCCGATTGACCAATAGGAAACGCACAGGAAGTAAAAAGAAATTTGAATTCCTATGAATTGATCAACTCAAGGAAATGAATTCATGCAATATTTTATCAACACTTCCATTGTGTTGACAGTAAATATATTAATTTGCTTGACCTTTTCTAATGACCTTGTTGACATAGAAGTGTCAATTTAAAGGAATACACTTGCTTAGATGCTAAAGCCACCAATGTGCTACATTAAGTAACGGTACATAATATTATATCACAATTATATGTGGAAAATGGCACACAACACAACTATGTCACTGTACATCACTGATCAGTGATGATGTACACAGACTATCCATTTTAATATGTTGTTATAAGTTTAATGCATTGTTTCCCTTTTTTAAAGTATTTTACACACAAATTATTGCTATAATTTCCACTAATTAATTTATGTTTTTTTCCATAATTTATATATTTTTTCCCATGGAATTTTACAGCTACTTATAGCATCATTAGTAATGAGCAGCTTGATCTACTTGTAAGGGAAGCACAGAATAGGAATCCTAACATTGGCATTCGCTTGACAAAGGGCTTTCTTATGGGCAAAGGACATCGGGTGCAACATTACAGGATAAGGGATTCATTAATAAGGACTGATCCCGTTGGTATGATGGACCGTTGGGCCAAAGCTGTGAGGAGGAGAAAATATAAAGTTCACAGCCCCCTAAGTTTGTGGCATATTGATGGAAACCATAAACTGATAAGGTATTTTTACATATGAAAATTAATTACATCCAAATACAATTGATACAGAACAGAAATAATTTGGGAAAATAATTCAAATTATGTCAACAGACTTTGGCTAGATATTTAGCTTATCAGTGTATTTAGCACTAAAATTCTTGTACCATAGGGTTAATTGTTATCAGGTGTAACCAAAGTCAGATTATACACAAGGCAGCAATATAGGTCTATAGTTATGCAGTCAGCAAAATTTATAATATTGATTCAGTGTGACCAGACTTTTTCAGCAGTCATTACCAAAATTTTGTTCAAATATTACTAAATTAAGAAACATTTTACCAAATGTCGGCTTCCCAAATAATTACGTCATGATAATGCCGAAAAACAATAGTTACGTCATCAAAGTAGAAAAAATATTCACAAAAAGTGTCTCAAAATACTTGTTGCTTTCATCGTATTGCAGTTTTTGCTAATGATAAGGCTTTATTTCTTAGGCTTGGCAGTTCTGTTCGTCACTTTGAGCACGTTATTAAACAAAAAACACACATTTTTACCAACTATTTTTAATAATTCAAACCTTTCAGATTTTACCAAAATTTTACCAAAAGAAACTCATTACCAAATTTTCTTGAAAATTCACGAAATTTTACCAAACGTAAAACTTTTTACCAAATCTGGTCACACTGTATTGATTTTGGTTTTATTATCATACTGTATATGATTGTAAGATACAGTAATTCCTTTGTTGAAGGATTACTAACTTCAGTGTTGTTTAGGTGGAGGATTGTTATTCATGGGGGAATTGATGGTTTCTTGCGGATACCAGTGTACCTCCTTGCATCAAACAACAACAAGGCTGAGACTGTGGCAACTGCATTCATAAATGCTGTAGAAAGATATGGCCTGCCATCACGTGTTAGATCCAGGTGGTGTGCGCTATACGACAGCAAAGCACTGTGGTAGTAAATTTCACACATTCTGGAAAACATGGAGGACGAAGCTTTAAAATAAGGTTTACAAGTTAAATGCTTTGTTTTCAACTGTAAATGTCATCTTCTGTGGATAATAATGCTACAACTGCAAAGTTTATGTATCGTTTGCTTATATTATTAACTTTAGTTAGGGAAATGTTGTATATACGTGAATTTACAGCTGCTGAAATAGGGCGCTCCTTTTTGTTTGAGTCAAGATGTAATATGAATACGTCTGAGTTTTTCGTTTTTCTTGCGTAAAACTAAATGCAAACTATAGTTCAGTGTGCACAATTATGATGTTTAGACCCTGCTCTATTCAGAACTTCCATCGCACCCCAACGCACCCCTTCGGATCACCGTATATTTTATACTTAAAAAATCGCGTTTTCACATAGCATCACGAACTGATGGCAGTCAAGAGAGTGAAGAGACCTTTTAATTTTCCAGTCGGAGATAGTCCTGGTAAGCCGAAGAATAAGATACCAGCTTTTCCTCGACCTAGCTCAAGGAAGAGCCTGTTTTCACAGAAAGAATCCACTGGTTTGAGTAAAAAGCCTATCCCATGGTCTGATAACGAAACAACCTCTCTTGTCCAATATATATGTTTATATTGGAAAGATGCTTGGACTAACAAGTGGCCATCAACCAAAGACCCTGAATTCTGGAAAGGATGTGCAGATGCTGTGAACAAAACATGCAACTCAAATCGAACAGGTAACTAAAACTATGATTATAGTTACGTTGTATCAATAGAATGTAGTTAAAATATGAAAAGAAAGATTATGGCATGAGAATTTTTTGTTCAATTACTGTGCACACTTGAATAACTATATGTGTATGCTTACGCAACTAGTATTTGTTCCATATTATTGTAAAAAAATATGTTAGACCTAACTGGGAGAAATGGCGAAATATGCAACTACAGGTCTTCTAGATGGAATCGAACCTGTGGCCCTGTCATCCTGCTTTCAGTTCTGATGAGTATACCACCAGGTACCTGCAGTACCACTTAGCTATTAGCTATAGAGACCTTGCAATGACCTAACCACATGTTAATGTGTATATATACTAGTGCTTTTCTATGCCTAAAATATATGTATACACTGCATTTTTTGCCAAATTTTCCATCTACAAATTCTTTCAATATTCTGTTTTATCAACCATAATTCTCAAATCAACTAGAGAGTCTTCAGAATAATAGTTTTATAAACCCTGCCTTTGGTAAATTATAATGTGACTCCAGTTGCTCCAAACCTGGTGGCAGGCAGTAGTTTGTTTGATTGAGATTGGAAGTTAAACTGTGTCCTTCAGTTTGTTAGCCCGGAATTAGCTGTATACTGTACATGTTTCTAAGATTAATTTGCTTTTCTGGAACATTTGTTAAGGCACATCATGCAGAACCAGGGTGTTGAAACATTTGGCAAAAGAGTACTCAACACTAGTTGAAGCTGAAGAAACTCTGAAGATAGACTATGTCCTCGAAAGCACGCTGTTGGATAGCAACCTCGTTCCCAGGGTCTTTCTTAGAACGGCGCGAGGCGAAGCAAAGACCCTGGTTTCGGCTGGTCACGTGTCACCCAGATTCTGGGTGATAAATTAAAATGATACTATGGGCAGGGTGGGAGAGGAGCGTGTTTGTCGCATTTGTAACAATTTTTGCAATTTTGTGTGATGGATTTTAAATTTGCAACAAGAAATCGTGAAGACAACTGCAATTAAAAATTAATATTTATCGCGATGTGACTTTCTGCTGTATAATCTAGTGTCAAGTTACAATTCAAGCAAGTTGGATCAGATTTCAACGTATAGACTTGCCAAAGAAAGCACGCCTGGACGGCGTGGCAATAAGCCTACAAGAAAATTCGTATCTCTAGACCGACCAATGTGGTTTATATTTATTTAACTGTTAGTATTAAAGTATATCCTGATACTCGGACCAAAAGAATTTATTTATTGATGGGATGTGGAATTGGAACGAAATAGCGAGATCTTTTGATTTCCGAAATATTGCTAAGACGCCAACTGTATCGTGATTGTTGATTATAAAGGCCTTATCAAGAAACTTAAATCCCGTCAAGACTATAAAATTTCCTGCAAGATCTCAACGATCATGGTATATGTCAAAGTCTAGCTGTCTGTTGAAAATCTATGGTATTACAGTAAAGTCATACATCAAAGATAAGTCAAAGGATAATATATTTACGTCTTTCAATGAGCACTGTTTAGCCTAGTACTGTTTATACCACATTTATAAATTTTTTAAACAGCTTTCGTTTTGACACAACTCACAAGCTTTAAATTTTCTGCTTTATATATATTCTTAATAATACAAGTGAGATTTAGATTTTTTGCTTTGTGGAATAGAATACCGTTCTTTTTTTAATGGACAGCTCGTACTGATCGTCTCTATCATATCCAGGATTGCTTCTGTGTAAATAGCCTACATGTATCACTATATATGCCACTATCAAATAAATATAGAAATATAAATGAGCTTATTGAACTAGAAATAAACAGATGATTGAGACACAATGAAAACTGTTAGTAGCCTTAGTAGAAGTAGAAAACTCGAAAATTTATGTGTATTCGTATGGCAGTCTGTGGCTGTGCGCGTCTGACACTGTAAATTTGTGATGTAGATTATAGCCTAGTTGTCTGTATATTAGGAAAATATTATCAGACCAAGAAAAAGGCTAAAGCCTTACTATAATTAATGAATACGAATTATGTACTAAATCCAAAATTTTAAAGATAAATCACTGACAGACATTTCTCTGTTTGGCTAGTATCAAATGCTTACATTTGCTGATATTGGGCTCTAGTCCTAGACAATACAATACAATACTGTTTATTTTAAAAATCTTATAAACAAGACGTGCAAAGCATAGCAACGTTTACAAGAAAGGACAAATCTAATGCGTGTTTTAAAAACATTATACATATGTGAAAAGCCCATACACTGTGAAAAGCCCATAAAGGTCCACAAACGTTTGTTATAACACCGCGCTGATAATAACACGAGAGAGCACTGCGAGTAACGATTTGCTTGGTTTCTTGACTTGACTGTTGGTAAAAATGTAAGAATGTTCTTGTATTAAAATTCAAAGCAAAAAAATAAACAAAAATTAGCAAGTATTTTGAACTTACTGGAGTAGTTGGCAAAATTTTTGTTTTTAACTGTTTGTACTTTGATACTTTCACCACACCCCCTCGGGCGATCAATTTTGGACGAGGCACGTGACCAGCCGATACCAGGGTCTTTCCTGAAGACCCTGGGAACGAGGTTGGTTGGATAGCCCAGAACCTGGGACCCCAGTCAAGAACTTTTCTATTCCGGATTCTCTTTCGCCAATATTTACAGCATCACCATTTAAGAAGTCTTCTGCATCCATGGAAAGTGTTGGTGATAGTGTTACAAATTTTATTACAACTTTTCGATCGATGACATCATCAAGATTGAAGAAGCAGTTGGTCCAATATTTATACAAACTGTATGTTGTAGAACTAGGTGGGATGCCTTTGTTCCAATTTATCCAGCCAGATTTCCTTGAACTTAGTTTAAATGCAATGAAAACACTTTTTGAGGAAGAAAAGAAAAACCTTGTTCATAGCATTTTAAAGTGTTTTGAAAGGAGAGAATGTGGCTCAGAAACGAGGATGCCTTTGGACTGAATGCCATTTGGTCTCGTTGACTACAATTTGCGATTTTTTGCTGCTAATCGCACACAGAAATTAGGCATGGAAGAACATTATGCACAGTGGTCGGAAACCATGTTTTCACACTTCGGGCATAAGTGGGCAGCATTGCACAGAGGACCATGTTGGCAGTATGAAGAATTGGAAGATAAAGACCATGGATCAATCACCTGTTCATCAAGAAATATTATACAAGATGCATTGGAGTTCAGTGACATAAGCCTTGGATCTGATGAAGTTGGTGAGAGTGAGTTTCAGTTGGAAGAAGGTAATGTTGTTATATGTGTACTGTATTTATTCTAATAAATGCTGATTATCTACTAAATGCCCCAATCCAATTAAGTCACCCTTGACATACAGTAATTTTGTATTAATTAAAGAAGATAAAATGCCAAAAGACAATTTTTCACAAGTGTGAACATTTGTGTGAATTATTTGCATATTTTGTATTTTTGAGATTACAAAATGAACTTTTGAAATAGATGCCTCTCTCTAATAAATGCCCCCCCCCCCTTGTGAAATCATTTTTTTTCATAAATGCCCACCTACATTTATTAGAACAAATATATTATGTAAGTTTGTCATCATTTGACTGAAAAAAAAATTGGATGGGTGAGCGATTTTAAAAGACATACTGTATGTTTTTATTATTTTGCTTTCTTAAAACAATTGTAGATGATATTATGTCACTTGACGATATTGGTGTAGAAATGACAAATCATGTTCAGTTATCTGACAGTTCATCTGCCTCCCAGTACAGCAGCAGTGAGGTCATTGAATTAGTTACCATGCCCAAACCCCAAATCCGTTCTATACCTCGATTATGGACCCATGTGCGAAACACGGATGAACAAGAGATGCTTGAAAGCGAGATATCATATAAAGATATTGAATCATATAGTATACAACCAACTACCAAATCAAACTATCAAAATCCTTGGAAGTTTGATCCTCTGAAGGTAATATACAGTACAACAGTATTTGGTATTTACTAGTGCTGTTTGGCACTCACCCAAAAGCAGACTCTTCCATCTGGTACTTGAATCAGCGGTACAAAATGTGGGACTGTTCTATTCCGTATTCAAGTATAGTAGTTTGTAACAACAAAGGTTTGTTGAAAAATGATGGTTTGGCAAAGTTCTTTAGCAGATTTTGAGGTGTTTATAAACCAGTATATTTTTTTTTGTTAGGTGTAAGAAATAACCTCTCAGACTAACCAGTATTTCACATAAAGTAATGATTACTCAGCCTAGACACTAGGCTTTTTCCGGCGCGGTTTCTTTGGTTTCATGACGTCACAGAGATGAATGCGCGGTAAAAGCCTAGCCGATTTCACAATCCAATATGGCGGACTATGATGAGTACAACGAAAGTAAACAATATACCTTGTTTCCTTGTACTCATCCTACTTGTGCCAATTCCAAGAAATGGTATAAAAAACTTGAGCAGCACTATAACTGCGCGCATGAAGGGGAGCAGTGCTGTTTAGAAGATGCCATAAAAGAGCGATGGAGACGGCGAGGACAAAGAATGCTAAATAAAATTATGCAATCATGTTCTGATATGGTTGGTATAAAATTAATATGTATTTTCGACCATATATCTTTAAGTCAAGATTAACTTCAAAATAATCTTTTCATAGCTATTAGTTGGTATTTTAACACTGTGTATAAGTTTTTTAATTTTTTGGTTCTTAGGCCACATAAAATAAATTCCTTGATTCTCATCACTACACTTTGAAAATGTCGAAGAGGCGGGAGGTTTATATTTTATATTTATATAATTTAATATATATCAATAAATAAAAGTGTCACAAACTGAAATAAACATATTTCTCCACGAACAATGGCTGGCCCTTGAACTGAATGTCTGAATGCGAAGTTTTCTTTCGAGGTTCTATTTGTTTGAAATTGGCAGTTTAAAATGGCAATAAAAACCCAATATAAAATATAAAAAACTTAACTGTCTTGAAATATTTAGTTGGGCGGTACATTTATATTGTATAACAAAATAAAAAAAAATTTCACGCGGCTCTTAAAAAGTTAAAATACAGTCGGGCAGTGATGAGAATCAAGGAATTTATTTTATGTGGCTTTAGGGACAAGTCATTAATATTAATGCCGGGTAGGGAGCCGGAGGAAATTTTTATGAATAGCAAAAAATTTTCATGACCCTTAAGGATTTTTCTAACAAAATCATTTTATCACCCCCCCCCCCTATTGAGGAAACATATTTCATAGCCCCCCCCCAATTCTGAATTCAATGACTCTAAGTCAGTTTCATAAGCATTTTTCCTGCCCTCATACTCAGTTTACTTGCAGCTGTAAAGAATATTGTAAATATTGAAAATGATAGCCAAGGTGGACAGGAGTG